TTTATTTTTGGAGGCTGGCTTTCCTCCCAGCTCTTATTTAATAGTTTGCTCTTTCCTCCTCCTCTCATTTCTCCTCCCTGGGATCAAATTGCAATTTGTTTCACCTCACACAGCTCAACCACAGATCCCGAGAGCACAACTTCAGAAATCAAAGCCAGCCTCACATAACACGTTCTTTCTCTTTCACTGTTAACATGTTCTTCTCTCCCTTACCAAAAAAAGGTAGGAGAATGCTCCAGTGTTTGTCTGAAACTGGAGGTGCAGGAGGTCCATTCAGTGCTCAGTACGCACCTGTACTTTGTATCTGTTAGTCAAGCAAATTCCGTCAGCAAACTCTCCCCTTAGATACTCAGTTCAGTTGGAAAAGGAAGTTCTGTTGCTGCAAACTAGTTTTCTACACAGGAGAAATTTTAGCCCTATCTTCCACGGTTTACCTGCACAGGTAAGTCAGGCTTTTCCCAGAAAAACCCATGCTTTCTCTTCCATGCTGCTAAGTAAGACTGCAGCAGTAGCCACGCTTCAGGGCAGACCAGGTCACAGCTGCCCATGCGACTGCAACGGTTTGGCCCACTGCAAGTTTCAGGTGAGCTTAAAAAATTTCCATGCATCATTAATTAACCATACACGCTGTCTTCAACTACTGTAAGCCTGAAGTGCAGCACACTTATTCCTTCAAGGTTTAACCATTTCTGAGCATGCCTGCAATTATCCCCACTAGCCCAATGGCTACACAGTAATTCAGTGATGTGCTTGAAGCATGGGTTTTACAGAAATGTAATAATATACCTAACATTTTGCATTAAGTTTTCATGAAAAGGTGATGATTACCTACCAGGTGCCGTCCATCACCACTCACTATGCCACTCTGGGAGCACGGATGCTTGCAAGGCTGCAGCAGGGAGCACAGGGAAGGAGCACACCCCTGGGAGTCTGCTGTCATCGTCACTGCCAGTAACCTGAGGGACAACCTTGAAAAAGCCACTCTCCAAATCCCCTTTGGCCTCTTATTTATAGCAGAAGATTGTCTGGCGCTGCAGGTGCAGCTTGAAGCCTTCCCAAATCCAGAGAATGACTAGGGGAGGAGGAAGGCTTTGAACAGGACATTGCTGTCTGCCCTCTGCTTCCAGGTCAGGCCTTCAAGGCTCCACTGCCTCACGCAGCACAACCTATCTGACAGAAACGAGGACACACACAGCCCTCCTAGAACCTGTGCTGTGCTATTAGACATTTTGGCTGAGGCTCAGCTCTCCTGACATTAAACATCTCCAACAGAGATGCCTCCACGTGCCTCCATTGTTTGGACACTGTAGAAACAATGGAGAGGAACAGGCACTTTTAGGGCAGTTCATCCAGGGTATTTTTAGATGTCAGTGTGGATGAATCATGGCCCAGAAGCACTTGCTCCTCTCTGGTGACTATGAAAGGAGTCTAGACTACTGTCTCGCATGCAGACAGCTTTGCTGTAGTTTGGCAAGATGAATCTCACAATTTAAGTTGAGAGAAAGGACATAAACAAAGAAGTACCTCTGTGTTTCCAGTTAGGTGAGAAGGTTTGCCTCCCCAGAGGCACCAGGTGCAAGTGCCCTGCACATCCCTTCCTCCCCAACATCCTGCAGTTGGATGGCACACAGCTACCTTCACTGAGAGGGCTTAGTTCTGCTAGAAGAGTTTCATTTCCCTGGAACAGGATCCCCAGGGCAGTGGGTACAGCTCCGAGGTTACTGGAATTCAAGAAGTATCTGGGCAGTGCTCTCAGACATATGGACTGATTTTTGGGTGGTCCTGTATGGAAAAGGACTTGGATTCAGTGTTCGTTATGGGTCCCCTGTAACTTGAGATATTCTATGACTCTATGGTTTAATCACTGAACTTCAAGCTTTCGTGAAATATACCTGCAACTAAAGCTTGCTTCATGAGAGTTCCCAATAAGTAAGACATGCTGCTTGTGGGGCAGCTGTCATTTCCCTCCCTGCATCACCCAGGTGGATGCTAACAACCCAAACCAACCCAACACAAAGCAGAGTTCTCTCTGATGCCAACAAACACACAAAAAAATTCCTAAAGCTGTCCACTTCCAACATTTTTACAAGCACACTGTGGCCAGCTGTACACCATTCCTTAGCCACAGACACACAGGGCACAGGCAGCAGTGTGTTCCCCTCTCCACCCTCAACTCTTCATTTCATTTCAACTTCTTGTGATTCTCCTGGCAATCAATAAGTCAAAAGACCCAAAAAGTAAAACTTCTTCCTGTAAAATCCACATTTCTGCCTCCTCCCCACACTACCATGAAAGTAATTGTAATTGCTTTGTTTTCGATCTTTATTGTCATTTCCTTTGATAGAACTTGCAGCCTGAATCTTAAAGCTCAAATACCTAATAGTATTCTCTCCCCCTTCCCTCCGTCCCTTGCTGCAAAGAGTACCTCTTGTATCAGGGTCAGCAAAATGTCTCAAGCCTGTTTGCTTGGCTGCATTGTGTGGGGAGTTATCAGCAGGCTGCAGCATGGTGAGAAAGCAAACATGCCTCTTTGAGGCAGACCAGGGGCTGTGGTTTAGACCAGAGTCAAAGTTCTGCCCCATTTCCCCTCCTATGGGCAGATAACAGCCCTTTCCCCAGCACAGCTTTTTTCTTCTCCCTTTCCATGCGCTCAGCTAAGTGAAACACAAGATTTTTCTCCACTCCCTCTATGCTGGCCCTTAGCACTTCCAGAGAAGCAGTTTTTTTCATCTGCTGTTGTGAAAACTGTGATCTAGGTGATGTACAGAGACTGCTTTCTTCATATGCACACTAGTACCAGGATTCATGTCCTGTGATCCATGAAGATCATGCAAAGTTGGCCAGTACTAGCAGAACCTCTTCAGTCTTCCCATTTCCACTCTACAATCCCTTCACAAACAAATGCAGTGGTCTTCACGCTCTCAGCATTATCCCAAGCCAAAATAAGTTCATCCTTCACAGCAGCAACTTGCTGCCAACACCCTTCATGCTTCATGGGACACAAGTCAGGAAGGACAACCAGTAAAATCCATGTCCTATGACGTAACATACACTACCAGGTTTTGATCTACGGTCCTGGACAAGCTTATGGTACTCCCATAACATATTTGTGGTCCAGATCAATTCAGCTCCAGCTGAATATCTGTCCCAAACCTCTTCAGAGCAAAGTCGACAGAACTCAGATAAACTTGATCTCCCGGTGGCTGCATGGCCACCTCTATCTCGATTACAGCAGTATTCCTTCTACCCACACCAGTCACAGATGAAACTCAGGCAAAGGAAGATTAGGTGAGAGGTGTACAAAATGTCACCTTCCCCTTAATCACAGCTTATGGATCCAGTCCCAAAGTGTTACTCATATAGCACTCCGCACTTATAATCCCACCAACTAATCCAGCTGCATGTTCCAACAGGCAGGTCGCTAGGAGCGTTCTCTCGCAATCACTGTCTCTGTTTCAAATGCTTCTCTGACTCTGCAAGAAGAGACTACATCCTCTCCCACATCTAAAAGCCCTGTGACAGCTCAAAACAAACTGAGGGGAAGCTGGGGAAAGTGTGGTACAAGCGGCTCACCTCCTTCAACATGAGCAACTGCACAGCCAGCTGCCTGGTTCTCCACCGCCGCCAGGTAATGCTGGGGAAACACTTCAGTTGTGGTAAGCAACAGATAAGCATCTCTTTGCACACATACACGTATAAGCATCCCAGCTGCTAGAATTTAAACCCAGTATTCACTGTGCTCCAGGGAAGAAAACAAATGGGTTGAACTGGCTCAAAGGCACAGCTTCAGTAGTGAGAGTCTGGATCGTCTCTTCACATCTCCCTGTACAAACCCAGCCATTGAGAATCCAGATCTAACAGAGCCGCAGTTGCTAAGAAAACAGAGCTGCAAACAGATGTTAGGAGATGATTCATGGGGTAAGGGCATATCCCTGTACGACAGATAAACTCAGATGAATGGGCCTCTTTATACCTGATCTATCAAGCTGTGCTTCTTCTTGCACTCTTTGGGATTTCTTCTTTCATTCACTTCTATATTCAGATGGTGAGGAAACCAAACGGAACTGATCTCGCTGTTTATGGAATTAATTACTGGTAAAGGGATGTTACAGCGCTTACAATGAACTCAGTAAAAGGGCTAAACTATGGCCCATTATCCCCTCAAATGTAGACTTGTCAACACAAGAAACAGCTTTACCCAAAACCTACCAAAAGAAGCAACATAAAATCCAGAGTAAAAAACTGCTTTCACTACTTTCATTGATGACGTAAAACTAGCAGCCTGGGAGATAAAGCATTTTAAGCCTATTAGGTCATTAAGGCACGCCACTTCTTGAATTACTTCATTGTGTCTGTGCTTATAATCTGTCTGACAGATAACTAAAACACAGCACACTCCAGGACTAGACAAGCGCTGCTCACACCAACACAGTTCCCATTTACTTTAGTGAATTTTTGATCAGTTTTACTTGGAGAAAAAGTTTTTTTGCCCCTCTTAAGCTGCATAGTTCTCAGTTGACATCCATGGTACCTAAGATATATTTGCTTCCTGAAGTTATCTGTAAGTATCTGTTTAAATAAAGGAACCCTGATGTACACTGCTATAGATAGCTGTAGTAAAAAGGCAGCAATCATTCATTATCCTTCACTCTGACGATGAGAACAACCACCTGCACTTCTGAATACATATTTGTACAGCATCTAGCACAAAAGGAACCACACACTACTGCAATATCAATCACTGCAGCACTGGCTGCAATTACCACCAGTGTTTTCATCGCCCCTGCAATCACCCCTTTGCCAGCGCCCCTCACTCCCAGCACTTTGTAGCTCATCCCCATCCTTCCCAGCAGGTTCCAGGTAATCTGCTCCCACCCCACACAGCCCTTCCCATCCCACCTGCTCCATCCTGGAAATCAGTTCTTTGGGCTGCCCCGGTTGTGAGGTGAGGTAGCTGTAAGCGTGGCATGGTGGGGACCATCACTGTGGACAGCACTAATAGCTGCCACTGCTCTGCCGAACAGCCGCAGGGGTGGTGAAAGGCCATGACAGCTCACCAGGTGCCAGAGGTTTGCGCATATTTTCAAATATCACGTTTCAAACAGAGGTGTGAGTGGAGGTTTTGTCACTTCAGTCAAGCCACAAATGAGCCAAGATTCTGCACAGGGCACTTGTGAGTTCCATGATGGGAGAGCACCCTGAGAGCTGTGATGGACAAAAACGATTGGAAAAAGGGGGGAGAGGACAGGTGGGACATATTGCATCCTGAAAGGCGCACCAGTCCAAGAAAGGATCGAGAGGCTGTGAGAGCTCTCAAACAAACCCACTGACGGTTTTTGCCTGAGCACTTGGACGGACTCGAGGAATGTGCACCTGCTCTACCGCTCAATTCCTGCAGCAGCTCATGTGCAAAAAGGGAAGAAAGACTTAACTTTGAAGGTAACAGAGCACTGGAATAGGCCGCCCGTGGAGGTGCTGAAGTCTGCTTCTCTGGAGGTATTCAAGACCTCCCCCAGTCAACTTTCCCGTGCAACCTACTGAACGGAACCTGTGCTAGCAGGGGGTTGGGCTTTAGCGGTCCCTCCGAATCTGTACGATTCTGTGATTCTCACCATTTAGGTGGGACAGAGGAATCCTTCCCTCCAAGCCCTGCACCTGACCCACGCTCCTTGCCAAGCAACAGCCCGAGGTCCCCACGTGCCGCAGAGCACGCCGGCACCGCTCAGCACCAACCGCTGCAGGAGCCAACGGCTCCCGGGGCAGGAAAAGAGAAAGAAGCGGGAAGCGCGGGGAGCCCTCAGCTGTTAGCAGGGCGGGAGCGGCTCCGTAACTGCTAACGGAAAAGTCACTGCTGCTTTTCGCTCCGACGGGAACTTCTCCCGAACAAGTAACCACGCTGAGTTCTGAACGCGACACCGAAGAGATGAGGACTTCACAACGCTCCGTGCCCCCCACGCGAAGCGGAGCTGCGGAGGAACGAGCGCTGCCTGCCCGCCCGCCCACCGCGCTCCGTTCCCTCTGCCCGAGCCCCGCCGCCTCCCGCCGAGCGCGGGGTTCAGGCCCGGAGCTGCCCCAGGCGGAGATCCCACGCCCGGTTCCGGCCGCGTCCCGCAGCGAACTCCGCCGGGCGGCCCGCTCGGCCCCAGGGCTTCTCGTCCGTTCCTCCCGGCTACAAGGAGGCGGAGGGTGGGAAGGGAGCGGGGTAGGGGTGAAAGCGGGCGGCGCCGAAGGTGCAGCCGGCACCGAGGGAACAAAGGCGGCGGGAACAAAGAGCGGCAGGTAGCGCGGCGGAGCGCGGCGGGGCAGGGGGCCGCTCCGCGCACAAAGGCGAGGCCGGGCCGCGCCGAACTTCTGGCCGGGCGGGATCCGGCGGGGCGCACTCACCGCAGGAGCGGTCCGGACATCGGCGGCGGCGCGGCAACGAGCGCGGGCGGCGGCGGTAGTGAGCGCGGGCGGGAGGAGGGACCGACGCCGACCGCTCCCCGCCCCGGCCGCTGCGAGCGCGCCCCCCCGCCCGCGGGCGGTGAGGCGGAGCGGCCGCAGCCCTCACGGCACGGCACGGCCCGCGCCCCGCCTCCTCCGCCTCCCGCCGCGGGGCTGCCCACGGCACCGCCTGGGAGCCGCTCCCGGCCGGAGCACCGCGGTTTTCCTTGCGGCGCCGCGCACACATCCGCGCACGGCCACCTTCGCTCCGCGGGTCCCAAGCAATGGCGGCGGCAGCCGGCATTGCCTGGGCTGCTTGCAGGGGGTGAATGGGGACCGACTGTGTTGGCACAGCAACTTAAAGGGTTTTCAGAACTTCGGAGGAGGGTGGGCTTTTTTTCTCTCTTTCTCTCCTTTTTTTGTAAGGATAGGAAGAAATACCTTCTATTTGTTTCATTTGGTACTGGGTAGCTTTTGGCTGTGGACTTCACAAAGTTAGAGGGTACAGGTAATGAGAGTGAGATTTCAGAGTTCAGCGAGCTGCCCGTAGGAAAAGGTAGCTTCCCAAAAACTACTACTTATTTCTTCTCAGGAGGAGTGGTGATGCAGTGGCACAGGGATTGGGAGGTCACCATACCTGGAGGTGTTCAAGAACTGTGGAGATGTGCTTCTGGGGGACATGGGCAGTGGGCATGGTGGAGTTGGACTTGGGGATATTAGTGGTCTTTTCCAGCCTTAATGGTTCCGTGGTTTGATGAATCTGTGCTGATAAAACATCAGCCAACCTAAGTGGAAACAAATAAGGTCGTAGAATTACAGAGTCACAGAATGGTTTAGGTTGGAAGGGACCTTCAAGGTCATCCAGTTCCAACCCTTTGCTGTAGACAGGAACACCTCCCTCTAGAGCAGGTTGCTCAAAGCCCCATCCAGGCTGGCCTTGAATGCATCCACAGAGGGGGCATCCATAACCTTTGTGCAACCTGTCCCAGTGTCTTACCACCTTCACAGTGAAGAATTTCTTCCTAATATCCAGTCTAAATCCGCTCTCTTCCAGTTTAAAGCTACTGAGGCTAGAAAACCAAATGTTTCACTCTTTCATGACTACTTAGGCAAGTGTTTTATGCCCGTAGGTGTGTCTAAAGCTCTGCCAAATTTGGGCACTTGATTTTCTGTAAAGACTTTTTTTTTTTTCTTTTCCAGTCAATAGTGAGCCCTGTACCTTCCTGCCTGCTTTTTAGCTGGAGTCAAGAATGCAGTGTGTTGCAGAAGTGCCAGCCAAAGCTGGTTATAACCTGACTGCTCTGCCTTGGCAAACACCTGCTCTGATTCATGCTGCTGTTGTGCTAAATCAACTAGGGAGTTGTGCTAAATGAGCACTGGGGTTCCCATCGAGTTTGTTCAATGACAGTGTTGTCTGATACTCCACAGACACAGAAGAAGGCAGAGGGCTGCATTGGATGGGGCAGTGGGTGCTGCATCTCTGGAAGCATTCAAGGCCAGGCTGGATGTGGCTCTGGTCAGCCTGGTCTGTTGGTTGGCTATGGTCCTTTTCAACCCAGGCCATTCTATGATCCAATGATTCAGGCCCTCTGCTGTAGTTTCCTAACTTCTGTGTTATGCTTACCGCTGTGCATATGCTTGAAGTGAAACGAGCATCCTCAACTTGTTTACTAGCCTTGGCTGATGTATTTCAATCTTGAGTTTAAGTACGGGACAGAAAAAGTTGTAACATCAAATATAAGCTTTGTTACTTCAATAATTATTCTAAAGCTCTTGCCCTCTGGGACTGCAGAAAAAGTCTCATGGAGCCTTTTGTGCTGTAGAGCATTACCACTCCATGCTTTTCCCTCTGACGTAAACTGTAGAGCTCCTCATTCAGCTTACACAGTGCTGCAGCTCTCTGACATGCTTTGTCAAATACAAACACACAGTGTCTATTTACACTTAAATTATTCATTTCATAATTAGCTTATAAAGTACTTTGAAAGCACAACAGAAAGTATTACATTGAGTGATGCTATTGGGCAGACATAATGCAGGCAATTAAATAGTAACACCATTAAAAAGACATTGTGAGACTCAGAGGTAAAATTGAGTCAACTTTATATCCAAATGTTACATCTGTTGATTACACAGTACAACCTAAAACTGTGAAAATAAGCTTTAATCTCTTTTCAGGCACAGTCCTCCAGCTAGGAACTGCTGCAGACCTGACAGGTGTATGGGAGGCCAGCAAGCAGCTCCTGTGGGTCAGTCTTCATGGAAGATTACAGCTGGAAGCTGGGCAACCAAAGCTTGACCAGCAGTAGTGAAGGTGAACACAGTGGGAATGAGAAGTTTTTATAAGAGTTGTGGGTGTGTCCTGCCTTTCCCACACCACTATATCCAGCAAACACAGAGCTGGGTGCTGCAAAGTCCCATACAAGGCATCCAGGTATCTCAAGCTGTCAGGTCCCTCACGAGATAAGGACATGAATTCCATGGTGGGACATCCCTCCTACAATGGAGAATTTGCACAATTGGAATACAGCATTGGAGAGAGAGCAAATTCCCCACGTCTGCTGGATAAAATGTTAACTCTGAAGGATAGTGATGTCTGTGTAAACGGTGTTTGTTTGGATACTCCAAGCCACGTTTACACTCTGGTGTGCCAGAATGAACCTTTGGCTTACTGACCTTCCTCTTTCTCCTGCATGCAACCCTTTGTGCTGTGCCAGCACACTGTGTATGCTGGAGCTGGGAGTTAGATGACAACTAGCTCAGAGGAACAGTATTTTGTTTTCAGATAGATTGCTTTCAGGATTTGGTGGCAGCAAGGATACACAAACAGGTACAGTTTAGGGGCAGCAGAATCCAGCAGAGAGATGGACACAAACAGTATGAGCTGGACCTGGTATCAGGATGATACAACAAGGGAATAAGGGACCAGCACCATGCCAGAAACTTCCATGACCACACCTGGCTGCACTCCTCTCACTCCAACCCATGCAGGATAGAGAAGCAGGAAAGGGGACAGGTGAGAGTAGAAACTCATTTTTGGATTCTCCTTCTCCCTGCTGCCACAGCAACACAGAGGAAACAAGGTGGTTCTGCTTGCATCACTTTGGTTGCCTTACATGCCGTCCATTATGCTGGTGCAGCTCTCTGTGCAGTTATGTAGTCAGTCAGATCTAGAAATGGCTTAAAAAAACCCAGCACCTTCCTCATCCCCATTATTTTCACTCTGGCTCAGTGCCCAGGTATGATTTTACCCCATCTCTGCAGAGGTGCAGCTGGAGCAAGAGCATTGGAGGGGGAAAGAAGCAAGGGGCATAGGGATCTGCTTAAATACACAGTGCCCCCTCCCCCACATGGCCCATGGCACAGTCCCTGGAGGAGAGATTCTTGCTCAACAACCACAGGCAATGTATTTGTCAAAATTAGGGAGATCAAGAAAGAGGAAATAAAGGTTGAATCCATGCAGGCACGTGCAGTATTTGCATACTGTTTTCCTCCGCAAAACATAAAAGGAAGCCTGAATGTAATCATGTTAGGAATGCTCCCTTTCCCCTCCCATTTAATCTAAGCATTATGTGTGACATTCTCCTCAGAGTATAAGACAGCAACCCTGCAGACCGCTTAAGCAGGGACGTTGCCTTTAACACCTAACTGTTCCTGCTGAGGTCAGTGGCAGCACTTGCATGTTTATAGTTACACATGCTTAAATACTTTGTTAGGTCACCAGCTAATTTAAGAACAGAGAAGCACAGCTTCAGAAGAGAAAAATAGGTTAATAATGCTGAAGTTGCAGCAAATTGTAGGAAAACTGGAATAGGTTCATCATTAGTGAATCTCTGCTATTCAAAGGAAATTTTTCACCTTTTTGGGTCCTGCTCACTGCCTTGCATTCCTGATGATCTGTGTGTGCGCAGCAGTTTTAGAAGCTTGTTAGACTGATCATCAGACCTTGACCTGATCTTATCAGTGAACTCAGGTAAGGTTTTAGACTTGAAATCCCTTTATCTTAAACCCTGAAGTTTTATTCACTTTTTCATGAAGTTAGTCTAATGAAAAAAACCTGTATCTTTTATCTTTAGCCTGTCACAGCTGCAGCACAGTGTATCTGTAAGAGGGCTATAAGCAGCCTGTCATCAAGGCTATGCTGATCCTGTCAGCTTTACCCTCACGCCCCAGGGCTGGCTGGTGTCTTGGAGCACCCTGCACCCCAGCAGCAGCGTGGTATCTCAGTTTTTGCAGAGAAGTTGGGTAAGAGAAACTTGCCAAGAAACCCTCTATTCAGCTGACCAAAGCAGAAGCTGCAATACTACGGTGCAACACTTGGATACTAGGTTTGAATTCAGGGACATAGAAGAAATGGGTAAGCACTTTCTTTGCAAAATAGCTCCAACAGGAGGTCTGCAAGCCCCAGCGGCTTGTAAAGCAGAGCTGGACAGCAGAAGGCACCCAAGAACCGACGCATTTTTTTGTTTCATGGCCTCCTGTCATTCCTGAAACACTTTCTCTGGGACTCAGGGAAGACACACAATAGTTTTGCTTTGGCCAACAACTATATTACAATGTTCAGGGCACCTACCTTCCTAATGGAGGGAATTAGATGCTAGTATCTCAGTGATTGTAGCATGGCCCTGTTCAGCAACTCCCGGGTAGTTGCTTTCCAATATGATTCAATGGAGAACAAAAAACCCTCAGTAGAAAGATGTGGGGTTAAGACTTCTCTGGCAACAAAACTGAGTAATCTCAATCACTACCTTCAAAAATGTGTGCCCTTGGGCCCTGGCCAGCCATCCACTCTGTCAACATCTTTACTGCCAACTTTACTCACAGGGGCACGAATGTAAATCTAGTGTGAGAAAAGGATTAAGCCCATTCTGATTTTTATGGCCTATGAAATGTGTGCTGCTTTGCTGTTACTACACAGTGGTAAACAATACAGAAAAAGGGGATTCAGGCTGGTATTGCATATTTAAAATTTCTAAGGAAAAACATGTAATCCTAGATACTACCAACCAGTGCAGTGTATACAAGGTTTCTTCTAAGTCAGAAGCTAAAAGCCTGTACCTTGCCAGATGCTGGTTGAGGTATGCTACTTTTCTCCTGCAAAATAAGATTAGCAACACCAATTTTCCATGCATTCAAGTTTGGCATTTTCTCTGCAAGGAGATTAAAGCCCAGGCAAACACAAATCTGCCTGGATACTGCCCTGCTCTGTGTGTAGCTCTCACTTGGGATGAGTCCTGTGCTGTTCAGGAATCCCACTAAAATGAGTATTTCTTCACTGATGATTCAGTTGGCTGAGATTTGCAAGAAGAATGGAGAGAATTAGATGCTAGCTTCTTAAATTTCAGTAGGAAATGTGTTCCTGACTCCTTTAGGTTGATGTTTTCATACATATACAAAGACTGAAGAAGGTTCTTTTACTATGATATCTATGATTGGAGATTTCAGGCAATATCTTTTGAGTCTAGATTTCATAGCAGAACCTCAATGCAAACACTAGTAAGCAATTGTCAGGACTATTACTAGTGTAACTCCATAGAGTTGTCAGCAGAAAAGCATCTGAGCTAAGTACTTGTTCATTAAAGGTGCAGAACAATGAGTATATATGCACATGCCTGAAAAGCAGACAATATTTATAATGAATCCCGGGGCAGAAGATACAAATAATTTATTATTTTTAATTCACTACCCTTATTATTTTCTGATTTAAACTGTTTTCTAGATGAAAAGTCTCATTGAGTAGCTCAGGTAGTGTGAAGTTGCCGTTGTGTATAGCGGAACATTTTCTGTACAACTGTGACTTTTTCTGAGTCCTCTCAGCTCCAATTTTGTGCAGAGCAGACTGAAAATCAGCACGTGGAGCAGTGATCCCCTGTTTTGGTACTTAGTGCTGTTTGTGTTGGCATCCTGGATATATTTACTGAACTGTCATCTGTTATAGATGATATGGGACAGCTCTGATGTTTTGATAAGCATTGACTGGGAGCATCACACAGAGTCTTTAAATTGTTCCTTCATTTACACACCCATCTATTTTGAAAGCTGCTTTATAGGCTGTGTCCTCTCCCTTAAGCCCAGTGAGAGGTTTCCAAGCTACTGAACCTTCTGCAGCAGTGCAGGAAGCCTCCAGCTCCTGAGTAAATGGCTTTATATTGATTGGCAAATAGTTTTCCTGAAACCAAATGAAATGTGTGCTAAATAAGAGGCTATTGCATTTTCTGACTGTGTCAGACTCTCCCTGCAGCATGGCCCAGTCCACCTGGCAGTGTCATCCTCCCCATGACAAACCCAGCTATTTTTGTCTGCTGAGGCCCTATTACCAGGCATGGGGGAATTACTGCACCACCAAAGCTCTGCTTCACAGAGGGCACTGGTCAGTGCTGTGCCAACACACACCGCGTGCCTCTTTTCTCCATCTATTTCTCCATACAGCTTTGGGATCCTTGTGAAGGACCACACAGTTCTCCTCCCACCCCCCAGGTGCAGATCATGTCCCAGCTTTGGTCACCATCTCCCCAGTCTCTGTCCCTTGTTTTGCAAAAATAAGTATTTTTTCTGGATTCAATTTCTGCAGAATATCTACTGACATGCAGGCCAGCACAGTGCTTTGTTATTTATCACATGTACTGCTGGTGTTGGAAAAAGCAATCTCAAACAAGCACACCTTGCAGGCGCGAGGGAAACTTCATGATGATCATAGTTCTGGAATGCATTATTATGAGGGTTTGTAGTGTTGAGTGTGTCATTCGAGGTGCCTGTGCCCATTGCTGCTGGAGGTGGGCAGAGGTGAGACAAGCCCCAGCTTCTGATGGTTGAAGCCATGCATGAGCTTTGCTGGGGTTTGATGGCTGGGGTCAAAATGGTCCCAATGGATGGCCAGAGCAAGAGGGCGGAGGAGCTCCCAGCAGAGAAGAAGCTCATACAGATGAGAAGGAGCAGATGAAACATAGGCATGAAGAACAAAGAAATCCTGGCAGAGGATGTGGCTCTGGTAGAGAGGATGGTTAACACAAGACCTCGCTGCTGCTTCTTCCCTACCATCTCCAGCCAGCTGGTCTTCACCTCTTCACCACTGGACTGGCACTTCTGGAATTCATATATCTCAGCCTAAATGAGCCAACGCATCTGAAAAATGGCCCTGAGGAAGGCATGTGGGTGGTTTTCTGTTGAGTGACCAGATTCAATGCATGGGACCATGGCTGACAGCTCAGAAAAGGAGGAGCAGGGCTGCAGCTCATGGCAGCTCTACCCATGCAGGTAAGTGTGAGCCACTTCTGTATCTAAGCCAGGCAGCCACAGAGATGGGATCCCATGCTGAACTATCACAGCTGTGCCACATAGGGTCATACAATAGCTCGGGTTGGAAAAGACCTTAAACGTCATCAAATCCAACCCTCCTACATCAGATCTAGTGATGGGAGGCCCCAGAATGGGTCATGTCAACCAGCAGACACAACAGAAAACTGCTGTCTGTGAAGGTACTTTTTGGGATGCTTTCTGATTAATCTGATCTGCTTTAATGAACAAATTAATCACATGGTCATGTCATCACAAGGTGTAATATGCATTGTTTTATACTATGTCTAAGAATGTCTGCTTGCTTGCAGCTCCCTTTTCCCTCCCCATGGCATGTGTGGCTGTGCAGAACTCATTGACCACACTCAGGGAGATAAAGCAACCAACAGAGAATAACATCAGAGTCTGGCTTGGCTGGTTTAGCTCCCTGACTCAAAGTGGAAATCTTAACTGGATTCACCAGTTCAATGAGCTGAGCTGTACCCTGAAGCCATCCCTCCAGTGTGGCCAGGCTCAGGAGGAAGAGAGTGGGACCACAGCAAGACCTGCAATGCCAGCCAGTGGGAGGATACCAAAGATGATGACAAGATGTGCAATGAACTGGATGTGCCGCCTGCCTGGGATGAGAAGCCAGGTCAAGGTTTCACCGGTAATACAAGAAAGGCTGCAGGCAGACATGCATAAGCACATTGTATTTCTATAAATATTACTTGATATAAGGAGACATCTCATTATGAGGCTTGACTCTTGCTTGTCTAAGCAAAGGAATGCTGGATGTGGGACAGCATGTGCTCGTTGAAGCAATGAGATTGCTCATCTGTCCCTGAGAAAGCTCTGGGTGACACAGAGATTCTTTTATTCCTCTGCTACCACGGACCAAAACAAATGTAAATATCTCTCCAGTTCAAAGTATTACTTCATGCTGTTTTAATAACAAAGTTCACTGCATAATTTGGCTCTGTGCTCCTTATTCGCTATCAGTGAGTCCAAAAGGGAAGTGGGAAAGGGGTGAAAGGCTAGAAATGCAAAGAGAGGTTGCTTACAGCTGATGTTTATTTCATGTCATTAAACCTTCATTTTCAGTGCCACTAATCCTTCATTTTGATGACAACTTCAAAGATCGCTTGTAATTATATTTCAATGGAAAAGCTGAATCCAGAGACGTAGATGCAAAAGGGCAATTGCCTACTGTGCACTGTGTTTAGAAGGGACAACTAACTGTACATTCCAGGGATGGATTGAAAGGATGAATTTTAACGGTGACAGAGTTTAACGATCAGAAAAACCTTGGTTAAAAAACCAAAACTGGCTGCTATTTTAATTTCCATTTTACAGTGGGTCCTTACAGTTATTTCAGTTGTCAAAGGATTGATCTCAGTGACAGCCAGAATTAATGAGGTGTGACTAACCAGGAGGGCACCTGTCACCTTTACTTGTTCAGAGGAGTTTGTATCTAACATGCATTTATTCAGACTCCTAATTATCTCCTTAGTAAAACTATTAGAAGTGATGAATGATTTTTTTTCTTAATGTATAAAAAAGGGATTATTTTTCATCTAGGTCAGACTAGATGGAGGTTGGCTTACAATTAAAAATGAGTGATCAATTGCTTTAAAATGTGCTTTTACTGTATCTTAAATGTCCTGAATACGTATCAGGAAAGAGCTTATGCTTTTAAAATATTAAAACTGATTTTTTAAATAAAAGAACATTTTCTGCGATTGGATTTTTACCTTTTATGTGTTCCAAGATTTCAGAAATGAAACCTCTTAACTTCATCTTCTTTCTTCCTTCATTAGGTAAGAGGAAGAAAATGGACTTTTTTTTTCTTTTTCAATTTCCAATCAGTTTCTTGTGCTGTCCTTGGCCAGGCATTGAACAAACACTGACTGATGGAAATATTCTTTCCATTCCTGCCCAGCACTCTTCTATGGAAGGCAAGATCCCCATCTTCCAGGATGCTCCTGGAGCTTCAAACGCTGCCAGGACACAGGCACTGAAGACATCAGGAATATTACGGCTGTGTTAAGGAGGGGCTGCCGTGGCTCGTATAGAAACGAGTGCCTCATTTCCAAAAAAGCAAATGCAATTGAACAAGCATAAGAATCCTGGTGTCTGCCGCAGCTTCTGCGGTTTGCAGAAGCAACACTGACATCTAGCGGGGCAAGCTGAAATGCTCATCAGAATGGTTAGGTTGGAAGGGACCTTACAGGACATCCAGTCCCACTCCCTACCGTGGGCTGATTGCCTCCCACCAGCTCAGGCTGCCCAGGGCCTTGGACACCTCCAGGGATGGGGCACCCACAGCTCTGTGCAGCAGTGCCAGGGCCTCACCACTCTGAGTAAAAAAATTCTTTCTAACATCTAATCTGAATTTCCCCTCTTATTTTAAAGCCCTTCCACCTTTATCCTATCACTATTAGGCTGTGTGAATCACAGTGATCACTCTGGGCTAGCAAGTGATGAGCATTCAGGAGCAATTTATTGAAGCAGGAATTGCTACCACTGGAACTAGCTGTTGGAAATGCCTCTACAAAATGTTTTGAAGGTGTATCCCAATATTTGTAAATGGCATGTGACCCCAAGTTTCTCCATTCAGGAAGGGAGGACAGACTGAAGACCAGCCCTGCTGTGTTTGAAACATCATGGAATCAAACTTTCTTGCTCTAGCCTTAAAGCTGACAGCAACAGAAGAAAGTGATTTTTGGCTGGTTTGAACCATTGCATGCTTGCTTAAGTGCAGAATAACAGCATGCAATATGCACCATCCCCTTGCAATCATGAAAACATGAGAGACAGGAATTTTTATCTGTGCTGCCTTGTGTGCTTTAAAAGAATGATTTGACGTGAAGCTGGAGCAAAAGAGAAGTTACAGGGAGGGGTGTTTCCCTGGAAATCTTAAAAAGCAGTAGCTAGTTTTATAGTCCAGATAAGAACCATGTGGAAGTGAATGGAAGCTTAGAAACATGTGCAAGACTATGCTGGGAAAGTCCACTGTGATGGCACCAGGATTACTCACTTGGCTCATGCCATCACGTGTGTAGCCTTTCAACTACATTAACTCCCTACTGGTTTAATTTGTCTCCAAGATCTGAATTCCCTACCAGAAAAATGGAGAGAGAAGAAGCTTTCAGGGGCAGCACCAGAGGTTCCCCAAGGAAAGGTGACCATGGGGCTGCAATGATGGGGATGCCAGTCTCCCACAGGCTGTGCAAAGAACACGACCCAGCAATACATGAAAACTCTGCCTTGTTTTTGCTTTGAATTTGGTGATATGCAGAAAAGAATGCCTAGTTTTCATTTATTTCAGGAAATTTTTTGAAGATTTCTATGTCTGCAAAGAATATTTATAAAATATGAAGATTTTGAACAAAAAATACTTCCTATATTCAATCAAGGCCTTCAGTAATGATTTCTGTTACACAATAAGCTAAAGCATTCCGCAGTTCAACTTTGCTCATTAAAACCCAACACAAATAGAAAACACAGATTGATCAGGATTACTTTGGTGTCCAGGTTAAATCTCAAGGTAAATACTGGACTCATTTTTTCTACTCAGGGAGTGTATTAGATAGGCAATAAAACCTCGTGTCCTCTTCCATTACTGCAGCAAGATCTCAGACCGTATAAGGTCCTATGAGGGGGCAGAGGGGGTGGGATGTCAGTGCAAGGAAGGATGCTGCACCCACCTCATCATACACCTTCTTTTGTTTGCCTTTGCAGTTGGATGCTTTGTTAAGGCTTTATAGGGATACTGAAACTCAGCATCATCTCTAAGGGCAGACTGATATTTCACACTTACCATATATGCTTTTGTATGCATTTTCTGTGGTCAGAAACCCAGCAGACGTGCACACACTGGCACCATTCTCTGCCCAGCACAAACGTGAAAGCTGGAAGCCCTTCTGCCCTTCTGTGTGTGCCAGCTTGTGCCTTGCAGGTCACAGCAGCCTGCAGGCAGCCTTGAGTGTTCAGTCCCACCCCTTTTTTCCACTAATGCTATTGTTCAGCTCACAAATACAGGGCTCCTGATCCTTCCACACAGAACAAAGTGCCTGTGCCAATAACTGAGTTCCCTGTCAAGAGTCAGGAGATCTCTCCTCTTCCCTGCTTGAGGTGACCAAGCAGCAGTGCTCTTTTGTGTTTATTTACCATCAATGCCTTATTTTCAACCCCACCATGTGCCCATAGAACACAATAAGTAGGGAATCCTCACGTCAATCAGGAGTTTTGAGGATGAGAACATCACTTAGCTTGACACTTCGGGCTATCTACATCCTAGGTGCTGTCCTTCATGACTCTGGTGCCCCATGTGGGTGAAACTTGCTTGTAAATGCCACATTTTGGGGAAGGACATGAAGCTGTTGTGCATCCAGTGCCTGAGGTGTTGTGACAGGCATAGGAAAACATGAGGGCTTTGCCCTATGCTCCTTCCTGCACTGACATTTTGCAGGTGGGTGGTGGCAAGGTTTGCTGAATTCCCACAGCTGGATGCACATCATACATGTGGCCTTTAGGGAGATGTATTTGCTTGCATGAGTTCATGATTTAGCAGATGTCCAACCCAGCTGCAGCTCAGCATGGTGTTCCCCTTCTCCCTGTTTCCAGGCTGGATGTGGCCCTGGGCAGCCTGATCTGGTGGTTGGTGACCCTGCTCATAGCAGGGGGGTTGAAACTGGGTGATCATTGTGGATCTTTTCAACACAGGCCATTTTGTGATTCAATGATTCTATGATTCTGTGATTCTATGATTCTACCTCTGCCCCACTGAATTCAAACTCTTTGATCTGTGTGTTCACCCACAATTTATAAGTAAATGTAAATGAGTAAATGCAAATGACAACACAATACAATTTGAGCACATGGCTGCAAAGACCTTGACATTGTGAAAAGCAAGCCTCTGGCAAATGGGTTATAACTTCACATTGCAAAGATTACATGCCATTTAGATAAGAACATGCCACCTATTCTATTACTCTGTATAATGGCTTGAGTTTAATCACTGATATGCTGAGAGGAGCTATGCCTTCACTCCAGCCCTTGAAGTAAACCTGCTGCTTGCAAAGATGTGAATGGTCCCAAAGAAGTGGAACCATGTGCTGTCCCCTCTCAGCCTTTCTAAAGACACAGACTTTCTTACATTTTTATGACCTGCCTCACTCCACTGCCATTTGCTTGTTTCCCCAATCCAATGGATTTCCTCATTCTTTTCAAGAGATGCAGAAGTTATCCTCAAAAAGTGACTGATGATATCCAGAGCTGGGTTACAGCTTTGAGCCAGCGCCCTTCCTGAGCTCTGCCAAGGCACTGATTTATTGTGCTTCAGAGCCATGGCATGATGAGGATTAAAATCAATTGTACAGATGACGCATGGGCTTTGCTTCCCAGGCTCTGGACAGCTGGGTCTACAGTATCTTCTGCATTTATTTAAACAGGTGGCAAGCAAAATAAGACAAACTCATTCCATGCTCTTTTAATTCTCTGAAATAGATCTAAGCGATTTTACTGTTTACACAGCATATATATAACAGTCAGTGAAGGAAAACAAAATGTTGTTCTTTGGACAAATTATTTAACATGTTTGTAAGTTTCCTATTTGTAGGAAATAGTATGCATTCCTAAGTCCTGTAAGTAATAGCGACTGGCCTTTATTGCAATCTAGAACACAGTTGCCCTGTGTGAGACCCAACTGGGGCCTGCAGCTCAGATGCACACCCTCCTGCTTGGCACCACATTCCCATGTCATCAGATTGGGATTTCCTGCCTGGGATTGTGCATCACCTTCTTTAAAGTCACTGCATGCATACTGTATCTACTCTCATGTGTGAGCAGCAAAGTGCAGGAAAGTAGAGAAGGGAACTGAGACATCATTCAGCGCATGAACTCTTCAAGTCTCCATTGCCATTTCAATTGTCTTACTGTGCTGTAGATACATTTTTAACTACAGAATTTGACTCATGTACAAACACTGAAAATATCTGGCCACTGAGAGAACCTTTTTCAGCTGTATCTTTTTCACTTCAGTCATCTCTTTCCTTTCAAATCTTGGACTCAATTTTTGTTATGAGAATGGCCATGTATTCGCAGAAGAGAAACATGGATCTCTCTCCTGTCAAGTACATTTCAGTGGCATGAAAACCTGCATCAATAACTCTGTGGGACAAAACACAGCAACACACATCAGATTCACATGCAGACTTCTGCTAAGCCTGCACCCAGTTTTACACACACCAGGTACAGCTTCAAAGAGGAAAGACAGCTAGAAAGGCTGCAACACTTCTGCTTTAGAAAGTGGCAAAGAGCAGAGCTTGGACCTGATTTCTTATCTGCTAGATGGTTCTCATCTCCAGAGAATCAGCAGAGATCATCTCAGCCTAGTAAGAGACCAAGGAAATCAAGCTCAGACCTTTCTCTGCCTGGCAGCACTGCTTGCTCTGAGTTGCCACATGCTCATTTGCACTGCTTGGATCCAAGGCTCTGCCCTGAGCCATCTTTTTACACCATATGGTTTTAGATATGCAGAGGCACTGGACCAGCAGCAGATTTCTGAGGGAAGAAGAGGGTAAAGGAAAATTAGATACAAAATATAAGTTAAGCATAAACATAAGCATAAACATCACAAAAGAAAAAAAAACCCAAGCATAAACAACAACAACAACAAGACACCTAACCAGAAGATCTCAGCATTTCTAATTCATTGTTTTGGGGTACTTTCTCCACCCACGTGTCCTTGCTCTGCTCCCTGTAACTACAGCACTTGCCCAGAGTGGAGGTAAAGCCTGCCTGTGTTGTACTGGCAGCATTGGCTCTAGATGGAGCTGCACTGTGTGCCTTCATGGGTGAGAGGTACAGGCTAGTTGGTGAGACTTACAGCAACCTCTGATCTCTTGGCTGTTCCTCAGTTTGTATTATCTCTGCAAACATGCCCTTCCCTTAATCTCTGTATAATCTTTTCCCAGACAGAGTAATTAAAAAGCCATTCCATATCTTTTCACTGGCTTCTTTTAGATAACATTTTGCAGCTGCCCACCCTTTAGCCCTCAGTCTGCAAATTCTGTCCTGTGGTTTTTGTTTCTTAAAGCAAACTTCGCACTCCTCTGCCAGCCAGGTTCTTTATACCAACCTTTTCTCAGGTGAAATGCCATGGAGCTCTATTCAGATGTTTGAAGCCTCCTTTGGAAGCAAGCTGTGATCCAGCCCTGCTTGTTCCTTAAACAGTTTCCTTCATGAATTTCTGCCATCTTTACTGGGCTGGTCATACGCACAACTCAGAACAGACAGCACAGGGCAGCAAGAATTGAAGTCTCCACACCAGGTCCTGCTCCTGCCCTGCAGCAAGCCTGGGTGTGCAGAGGGGTTGGTACAAGGACAGCTCTCTCACAAGGACACCTCTTCCACATGGGTACCTGTGCCATATGGACACCTCTCCCAGCCCAGTCAGGGCCACCTCCTAACCCCAGGGCCGCCCTAGGAGGTGACCACTACAGATGCTGGCCATGTGGCCTTTGCCATGTGAAGTTTGGATTTGCTGTCAGTGGGTCAGTATCTGTTAGCACGGATTTCTCCTGAAACCTTCCCTGCTATCATCTTCACGATGATCCTCTGCTTTGTTTTTGTACTTCTTTGAAGCAGTCAGATGCCAAATACATGATACACGCACACTCTGGTGCAGTGGCTTTTACTGTTTTGGCATAGCTAGAAGACATGAATATGAGTTTGACATCAGTTTTCCAGTACAATGGGAGGAGATGTTGTAATAATCTTGTACTTCCTACACTTTTCTTTTGAGCACTGTTTAGTTATATGAGGAAGAGCTTGAAAACAGCTCTTACAAAGCATCAGTTTTATTTTATCAAGTTAATACTTCAGATTTTGTCAGCAAGGATACATCAATGGTTTCAACAAAATGTTTTTGTAGAGGGGTGAGAAACTTTCTGGATCTGAAAGGCAACATGGAAATTATTCAGAAGTACACCTGAGGTGTTGATGGAACATAGCTCTTCTGGCACTTCTCATCAGTTGATCTACAAAGGATCAACTTCTATGTGTTATTCATATAGAAGCTCAGAGAGAACAAATACCTTTATAAGGTTTTCACCTCCTGGTAACAGCAAAATGCCTTTCAGAGGTGTTAAGAACTTCTGGCTCCTCTGAGCTTTATTTGGAACTAGGAGAGCCCTGGAGGCCCATTAAGCAATTCTAAAGCTGGACCTAAATAATTTCTCTTACATCTCAATCTGTTTATTGTTCTTACCTTCACCATCTCTGCAGAAAGTATTTCAACACTAAGAAAGCAAGTGTTCATTCTTTTTTTCCCAAGGGCCACCCACACACAAGCTTCCTCCATCTCTGTATGAAAAGAGCATTTATATTAGTAACTGTCTGTGGCCAAAAATGCAGCTGAAACCAGAAGGCAATAAGTAATTATTTGTACAAGCATTTTAAATTTATGCTTTTAAACCGTTTAAGTCAAAAGCTGTGTCATATCAGACTTGTTGAAGACATGGCCCAGGTTCAGGGATACAACTAATAAAACTTGGCCAGGCTTACACGATCTGAGGTTTGGATTTGAGATTTATTCCAATTTCCCGTGTTTCTGCAAGTGTTTGGAATGCTCTGACAAAAACAACTGCATTTTAGTTCAGGGACTGATCTACTTGTGTTCTTGGGGTGCTGTGGACTGCACCTCAGCAGACACTGAGCTCATGGTAAGAGAGTCTGACATCCTGCAGTGTGGTTTTTCCAAGCACTGTTAAAAAAATCAAAGTAGCTTGTTAAGTAATAGAAAAAACACAGCATTTTCATTAAAAATCTCTCAGGCAGTTGTTACTTAGCTAAACACTACGGTCAGCCACTTGAGCAAAGCACAGTGTGCCAAGATTTTGCTGTACATGGTGTGCAATAGCAGCATGATGAACAGCCCCGTGCACCATTCATATTCCATTTCTTTCTCAAAATAAAAGTCCTGGTTCTGCTCTACTGAGTGTTTTGAGGAAGGGCAGAGATCTTGCTGAGCTAAGAAGGTGTTCTTATTAAATCTGCACTTGAAAGAGGGCTGCTAGCTTTACTTTGAGTTTGTCTTGCTCTCTCTGTTTTTCTTTGGATACGACACAGAGCAAGCTGGCATTACCATGGAACTCAAAGCCTGTGGACTCAGACTGCAAAGTTCTCTAGGACAGAAGGGTCAGCTCTATTTTCATATGAATGATGTGCAGAAATCTGTGATTCTATCTACAGACTTAATCATTTTGGCTAGGATTTGTTTATGATTTGATTGTGTAAATGACATTGGATAATTATCCCCACGCTCATCCAAGGACATATGGTATGTTCACAAGCAACTGGGCAGTGTGCATCTCCAGTGTCTTAACAAAGTCCAGGTTCACCAGAAAAAATCAGAGTTCTGTCCTAGGTGAGACCTGGGTAGGTTCCCAGCAAACAAAAGCAGATGAGAAAGCAGAAAGAGCTAATGGTAAGAAAGCATACTAAAAGAGGTGTGCATGCATACACATGCATCTATACATAGATAGAGGAGGACAGCAGGACAGCCACATATGGCAAAGCTACATTACATATAGTAAGCATCTTCAATCTGCAAGACATAAGAGGAAAACATGAGATTAGGCAGAAAAAAAGCAAAATTTAAGATGGGGGAGCATGACAACTGCAATCCTTTCATGAACACTGTTTAGCCTTCCTTAGACCAGCCTGGCTGAGCTGGTTTTAAAAGCTCCTTCATCAGCAGGATGTAGTTTCTAGCACAATAAAGGGGCAAAACAAAACAATCCTGAGAACACGGCTTCTCAGCAGTTGAACCTACATTGCAAGTTCCTCCAGCCAAGTTTGGTTAATGACTTTTTTCTTTCCAGAAATACAGTGATCAAACACATAAGCAGTCTCCCATTCCCTCCATAATGAATGCTTCTCTTTCTATACATCCCATTTCATTGCTTGCTTCGCAGCAACCGTAGCAGATCACGAGGGTGGTATTAGGAGGTGTGCAGGCAAATTAACGCAGAACTCCTGCTTCTTCTCTGTGCTTTAAGCACAGCTGCACCACAGCTCTGTGAATCAGCAATCTTTGTCCTTGGCCGGCTCCAACCACTTACACACCCTGAGTCTAAACCTTCAGCTGCTTAACTTTCATTCCATCCAAAGGCAGGATTCAGGGGGCTCCAACACAAGAACTGGAACTCCCAATACCTCTCAGTTCATCACCTAGCACAGCTATAACTGAATTTAGATTTCTCACCCTCTAGGTGAATATTTGAATATTTCTGTTAACAGAGACAAACTCGGTGCCACGAGGCACCAAGCATACCTGGCCAAATGAGCTCCCAAAGGTTTCAGATGGAGTGAGGTCTTGTGTTTGCTGTGTGTCTGAACCACAGGAGGATTCAGCTGAGATCCTGGCCTTACCTGTCACTGCTGCCTGGGCATCCTTGGGCATTTCTGCTCAGTGCCCTGTGCCACTGCCAGGACAAATGAGAAGGTGGCAGGAATTTTCAGACAACCATGGGGTCAGGCAGTTGCCACAGTAGGAGATTTACTGGTTGTTTCCTTGAATTGAGCCCAGTGGATCCCTCTGAGTCCCATTTCTGGCAAGCCAAGTAAATATTCTAGAACGGATCCATCGTGACAATGCACTTGACTTAAGGACTTGGATGTCTGAGGGCGAGACACTAAATCCTCCTACATATTTTAAATCATCCGCCACTAAAATTTTAATTGCTCACTTCACGATGATATTTTTAAAGCTTAATTTACATTTGAGGGAATATCGCATACACCCACATAATCCTGAGCACTTTCTTCACAATTAAGAAAAACAGCAATGATCACACAACCCTCAGAGCGAGAGTCTGCAGCACTGCTTCCATTCAAAATACTGGTTATACTGGTTCTGATTTGCCCTGGGATACATGGGCTGCATTATCTGCAAAATGGTGCAGTTGGTAATGCAAGCTGTTGTGAGAATCACTGAGAGCACCTGGCCTTTTCCTGAGACCCA